GCAGGCGGTGTGTGTTGTGTGTGCGATGTGAAGCCGGGTCTGTTCCTTTCCCAGGCAGGCAGGCCGGCAGGAGAGCGAGGACCCCCCGGCTCACGCGTGTTCACCTCCCCGGCTCTTTTTTTTTTTTTTTTTCTTCGCCTCCTTCCTCCCTTTCTTGTGTCTTTCCCAGCGAGGTGGCGACGGAGAGATGATGGGAGGAGAAGTGGAAGAAGCAGCGGGGGTGATTGTGTGGAGCCACCAGGATTTGGGCCACGGCCTTCACTGACCTCCATCTTTAAAGCTTACCAGCATGTTGTTCTTGTGGTTTCCACAGCACCATGTTTATGAGGGTCATAAAGACTACATTTAAATTGAAATGTTTCACTTAGAAACTAAGTATGAGATTTTGGCTATTTGCAACATTACCAATTATCAACCCCTGTATCGTTGTTTGATTGGGACTATGTTCATCACTTGTCCTATTTATGTCTCTTTTGATCAGTTGACGTGTTCATTTTTGCGTTTTGAACTTCACAATCACAAAATGTTTCCCTCCTAGACAGACGGAGGGAACTGAAATCGGATCCACAACGGTCCTTTTTCATTTAACACTTAATGTCCTGCGAACCGTTTCAGCTTCAATGTTGATTTGAAGTGAGGAAAATACAAATTCAGATTATTATCCATTGAAATATTTTAGAGGTTCCTTACTGAACTATTTGTTCCCTGCTTTCCCAACGCGGAGGATGCCAGTGAGATGTGGTTGAGAAGGAAACAGCCTGTAAAATAGACTCTGAGTGTAATTTCTTTGTCACATAGACTTATATAGTAGTATATAGTATAGTGATATAGTGTATGAAATAAAGCCTCTGTGGATACCATGGTTACACGCAGCATTTAAGTAGTAATGCTTTATTTTACGAGACGCTAAATCTTCCGTGAATTTCCAGAGGGTTTTCTTTACATAACAACTTTTTTTTTCCATTCAATGGTACTCTTGACTAATTCAATTCTTACGTCTCATAACCACCATTAACCTGCAAAATAGTCCGGAGATGAACTTTTCCTGATAAAATAAGTGTTGTGGGAAATTCATCAGAAGAGCGTATCGGGTAAAATCAATGCCTCCTGATTGTGGCCTTTTAGCGTGTTGGAGGTTGGTGCGCACATGTAAAACAGTTGTTCACCCAGAGGGCTTTGGAGTTCTGTGGGTGTGCTTGTTTCCAGCAGAATAAAAGGGGGGTGGGGGGGGGGGGCGGGTGTTCACATGGTTCACAGTCTAACGTTACTACATGCTGTAGTGAATTCTCTGAGCCCAGAGGCATCGTGCTCATATGCTCCCCCTCAGTTACAACCAACAAGAAACATTATCCAGGACATTGGAGATACAGATATAGACTATTACAAAGGAAATATGACAGATGTGTAATACGAGACCGTGCCCTTGGACTTGGAAAAAGAGGCTGATTGGTCGTGAATCCCGGTGTGTTGAACCCGATTCCCGGTTCATACGGACGGGCCACGAGGGCGTCCGTATTGTTTAATAATCAGTGGGATGTTTAGATTCTAGACGCAGGTTGGAGTCGAAGAGAAGCCAGACCCGCCTTCTCTGCATGCAGCGCCCCAAACAAGAACCACATGTCCCGGCCTGGGTTCTCTCTCTCTCTCTCTCTCTCTCTCATACACCCCCACGTCCCTCTCTGCGCCCCGTCTTCTCGCTGTAAACTCTACCCAAACCCTCGCCACGGGGAGCTCAAAGACTCAGAAACACATGTGGTTAGCCATAAATCCTCACATGCACTGTGTGCACCCTAACAGTCAACCCCCCCTCCCCCCGTCCCCCCGTCCTCCCAAACCACTCACAGCAACCGACGCGCGCACGGCGACCTACAAGGGGGCAGAAAAAGTCACGCACGGGGAGACGAGGAAACAATGGGGAGGGAGAGGAAGCGACATCGGGCAACGATCTGGGCTGTCTGGTGTTGAGGAGCAAAAACAAAGAAGTTTGGGGTTGGGTGGCGTGGAAGGGGGGGGGGGGGGGGGGACAATGGCGACAGTCAGACAGAAGGTGACTGCAGGCTACCATTCCTGCACGGGCACAGAACAATGGCGATCCTGTGGCTCGCCGGGGCTGCGCTGTGCACTCGCTGAAATCCAAGACCAGCGTAAACACCCGGAGGAGGACAATGGCGCTCGCTCGCTCCACAAAAGATGCTTTTCCTCCGGGCCCGCGGGGAGGATGCACAGACCAGGACTCCCTCCAGGACGGCGGGGCCCCCATCCGTACCACACGTCCTCGCCGCCCCATTCGAGCGGCGCAGCATCCGATACTTGTGGCAGATTATGTTTCTGGCCCTCGCGGTCAAACCCCATCGTCTTCTTCCTTTCCCAAAGCGTTTTACGATACACAATCTCTTCAGACCGCTGCCTTGTGATCGGGGAGGGAAATATAAGGATTTTTCTTTCAGTCAGCCCTATCTATTTGGGGAGGGGGGGGGGGGCAATGCAGTGTTCAAAGCTTAAAGATCTTCTCCCATAGTGTTCTGTATTATCTCACTCTCCTTTAACGCATATCCTTCCTACAGATTCCTACATTCCGTTCACTAATGCTACGTCTGTATTTTTCAGGGATGGTTTCTGGTTCTTTCTCGGCCAGGCAGCTGTCATCTGAACATGTCAGCAGATGTGCCGTTTGGTTGGTTTCGAAGTTCTGATTGGCTAAGACGCCGTATCAGCCGGTATATAAAGTCACATGATTGGTCAGATGGTCGGGGGATCAGCGACCACAGCGGCGCCCGACCGGGTTCCAGACGAGGGCCCCTGGTTCACCACAGTCCCGCTGCTGTCTGGGTCGATGCCTGTGCGGCTGATCCGAGGTCCAAATGAAGGGGTTCAGGACCCAAAATTGGGGGTCTCGTTCTTTCGTATCCATCTCTGGTGGAATGATTGTTGTATTTAAATGAGATTGGGGTTTGCGGTGAAATACAGTGAGTAGAGATTTTCCCATGTCCTCGTCTCCACGTTAACCTACATTGTGTGTTCGTCCATATTGTGTTTTTTGTCACAAAGCTTTTCATATTTCCGGACTATTTAAGCTATTTGACTTTCTCGCAAAGGGGTGAAGGTCATCTATAAAAAAAATGTAAAAACATTTAGGGAAGTAACACTGCAACGACTGCACGCGGACCTCAAAGCTTGGCCTCCACCAATCAAAGCGCATCCGTGTGATCCTGGTTCCACTTCCTGTTTGTGTTCCTGTGAGCCGCTGTTCACAGTCAGAGGCTTTGATCTCGCCTCATGTGGGCGGGACAGGTAGCAGACGTTGGATATCATCGGGGGAAACAATAGCAGGCATAGATGTGGACATAAAGGGTGTGTGTGTGTGTGTGTGGGGGGGGGGGGGGTACGACGTTTTTGTGCAGTTCTGTGAAGATGGTGAGCAGTATCTGGCCGTCAATACTCACTGTGTGAGACGATGCATGGATTCAACGCTACGCTAGATAACTCTCGCTGAGACGTCGCCTGAAAATCAGGCGGACATCTCCTCTTTTATAGTCGCTCTTTCTTTTGACACACATTCACACACTGACGGCAGAACTTCCAGGAGCAGGGATTCAGTCTCACGGACACTTGCAAATGGAGCAGGAGATGGAGATGTCATTCTCAGTCCTCTAAATCAGCGTTAAGTGGATCTTAAGTCAGGGTTACTTTGTGAGAATAAGATTTCATTCGTCTTTCTCTAATCGCCTTCGAAGAGCAGAGACGTGGGCGGTGAAGCAGAGGACAATTTATGTTCTCTGAACACACAAAAACACACAAACTTTGTCCATGAATTTTTTTAGCAACCCTCAAATCTAAAAATAATTTTAAAAGAACTCACCCGAAAAGCAGCTTGATGTCTGAATAGCAGCGGAGCGTCCAGCCGGCCCTGTGCACCGTTCAAAAAGGTGAGCCTACTAAAATAGCCCTTCACACAAAGACGGGTTCACGGGGCCTTCTGCCGCTGAGCGGGAGCCTCTTAGTTCTGAAGAGTCCAAAGGACGGCCTTCAAGCGTATGCACTGACCTTTACTGATGAAAGACCCGAAAAAGGGTATTTTAACAATATCATGATGCCCTTTCAATATGAAAAGGTGGATGAGAAACACTCTGAGCCAATGCGACTTAAAAGGAGCGCGCCGTGTCAGAGGAGAGCGGTGTGCCAACAGCGGTGTGGGTTTCAGCGTCGGTGTTGATGTGCAGCTAGAAGCTGGTACAAGTGGAAATGAAATAAGACGACGCGTGAGGCCGCCTGGCGTACGCTGTGATCCCAGATCTCTCTGCATCGCACTCGCGTCACAGGCCCAAAGCATTTAACGCGTCACGCCGTCAGTCCAGGGAGCCACCCACGGTTCCCGTTCAGCTAAATGGGACGCTGCCCATACGGGTTAGCATGGCTGAGGTGGGTAGGCACGTTAAATGGTATGAAGAGAGATGGATTAACATTTACAAGAGATTATTGGAGAATAAATGTAGAAAATCAGCTACATTTAAAGGGCAGATGTTTGGTTTTCCCACCAGGTTTATATTTTAAATTCTTTGTTTGTCATAAACATGGCCCTTTGGCGTGGAATCTGTACGTTCCTTCCGCGTCAGCGTCACACACTCACTAGGACGCGTCTTTATCCGCCAGTATGAAGGGGACGAAATAAAACTAAAACCTGAGAAAATTACGGACTTGAGGAAATGTGACGCTGTCCTTTAAAGACAGAGTGTAATGTTAAAGCCCCCCCCCCCCCCCTGTCTTACACTTAAACACACTGTGGTGGCCAAATTAATGCTGCATGCTTTAATTTCCAACAGGGAGTAAATTAAGAGCCGATAATGGATGCAAATCTGGCAGAGATTCCTCTCCGGATCCAACGAGTTGCAATATTCGCAGTGGGGTGTGTGTGTGGGGAAGTTTGCAACACACACGCACACACACCCAAAATCCCCACCCCGCCCCCCTGGACAGACACAAAACCATAGGAAGCCATTTGCTAATTTGAAAAATAGAACATTTTAATAAAGGCTACATCTCTTCATAATTACAATAATTAAAGTACCGAGGCATCTTTTCAACTGAGCTCTATAGAACGCATAATTTACAGTTTACAAGTGGAGCCAAGGAAGCCATGAAAAATATTATAAAACATAAAACATGATGAAACGGATACTAAAAGGCATAAAAATATCTTTTTAACATAAGGCCCCTTGTAAAAACCAAGGGAGTAAAAGGACCCGGAAAATTGGGTAAAACACGGCAAGAATCCATGTAGGCACAGCTACTGTACTCAGTTAGAACACTACGGACATAGTGTGTAAATCACCATCATCATCATCATCATCATCTGCAGCGCATAGTGCAGCTTTCAAACACACAGAGTAACACTACTCAAAAGCAACTCAGTCACACAATCACATCGGTAAGCACGTTGGGGGGGCACACTATAGAGCTTTGTGTTGGTAAATATTAATAATGGCGTAAACACATTTTGGGGACTCTAGGACCACGTTCAGGGCACTTTCCTCTTCGTTAACTCGTAGGCTATTTGTGCGATGCCTGCGCCACTGAAACAAAGGCACTAAGACGCGACGGATCAAGGCTAGCTGGGAATTACACGTTAATGGCATTTTTGTTCTTTACACCCCCCCCCACTCATAGTACGCTCGGCGCAGATGGCGACAAATAGCACTGCAGTAGTAAATATATTATCAAACTTTTAAGTGATAAGAGCCTCAGCAGTAAGCGCTGCCGCCAGGAGATCAGAGATGAGTCATCGCTGAATCTCCAGGAGGAGGAGAGGGTCCTTCGAAGAGGTATTTTGGAAGTTTACAGCTCAAGATGGAGGGGCAGACAATGAATAAAAGCCATTTCTTTTGCTTGAGAACTAATGCTCAGCAGGATGGGAAAGGGTTGGGGGGGCAACAGAAAAAAGCAAAAAAAAGAATCACGGATGTGGAAACTTGGAGAAGTTTCTCCAACTACAAGCAGCTTGTCCATAGAGGAACAACGGGGACGCTTCCAATAAATAGCAATACGAATCTTTACACAGCAATACGAGCATCACAATACAATGCAATGTACATGTATATCTGTGCACACACACACTAGCAGGGTCGCTTAGCCAGTGGCAGATGCCGGCACAGGGGGGGGGGGCTCGGGTGGGCTGCCAGTCTCAGATCCAAACGCCACCCGAACGGCTTCTTTGAGGAGTGGTCATTCACCTAAAGTCTTTTGAGTTTCCTCTTCTGGAAACACACACACACGTGTTTCTGTCCAGCAACACACGAGCGCACACACACACACACACACACACAAAACAGACAGACACGCATTCTTTGATTCCTGTAGACGTGGAGGCGGTGACAGTCCTGTAATGGCGATGACTCGTCCTCCTTCCTCTTCCCGAACGTCGGCAATATTCCTTCGGCGGCATGTCCAGTCCGATAAGCTCCTGCGTGTGTGTGTGTGTTTGCGAGCGAACGAAGGGAGTACATCCATGGAGGTGTGAAGGGTCCGTTTTAAAATCCACGAGGTGGGGCGGGGGGGGTCTCACTCCATCCTCTCCACCTTGCCCAGGATCTTGCCCTGGTAGGTGGGCAGCGAGCAGCCGTCGTCCGACACCTCCTCGAACACGGCGCCGCACGCAAACTCGTCGCTGGCCTTCTTGAAGTAGTACCTGAGACCGGAGAGACAAGGCGGCGTTAACACTCACACACCAAGTCAAACGCCCTTTGACCTTTATAAACTTTATAAACCGAAAAATGGAGGGGTCCTTCAACTACCGCTCATCCCCGTTTCATTAAGGAGACAAAGCGGAGAAGACAAGGTGGAGGAGGGGAAGGAGCGAGCGGTACACAGTGTACTTCCTGTCTCCTGTTGACGGCTGTAGGAAGGGCACCCGACTGGCAACTTTCTGTGTGTGTGTGTGTGTGTGTGTGTGTGTGTGTGGAACAGAAAGGAGGGGCTTCTCCTCAGCCATGACTTCACTGGGCCATTAATGATGCAAACCCCCCCCCATCCTCATTTTAGAGGAAGGGAAAGCAGCAGGGGTGGGCTGCTTGGTGTGTCTCAGGAATCACTCATTAACTATGTAATGGAAAACTGCCTCCATGTGCTCCATGTGTGGGGGGGCTGGAATGTTTGTGAACGTTTTGCTTTTAATGGGACGGAAGGCAGACAAAGTTGAATGTGCGATACCAAAAAAGCCCCCCAAAGAACACACTAGCTGGACGAGCTCGAGAAGAAAAAGCAGCGATGGCTTCACTGAATACCAGAGGAAGAAGAAGCGAGTGAATAAGAGGACATGAAAGCGCAGAGGACTCCTTGATCATCGTGTCCTTGTGGACTATATGGACGAGGAAAAAGAGAAAAAACAACAAGTGCAGCCATCTTTCTCCTTTAAAGAGCCATGATATTTTCTGCTGAGACACAGACAGAGACAAAAAAAAGCCTGGATTTCCAATGCAACGTGTTTTATGTGGCTAGATCTGCCCCCCCCCTTTACGTTTGCACTGACATCTGGCACCAATATAGTCTGGCAGGGCCCGGCAGTACTGTTCTTTGTTGAACCGCTGCCATGCTGAAATGACCCAAACTCCACACATTCTCTGGCTGCGATAAACGCGCCGCACAAGCTCCATCAAAAGAAGTGGACGGTCCGACAGGGGACCGGAGACAAGCGGGACGGAGAGGTGAGACGGAGAGGTGAGACGGAGAGGTGAGACGGAGAGGTGGTGGCGCAAACCGAGCTAAGTGCTCGTCACATTCGATGAGCCAAAAAGCTCCGTTACGCATCTGGTGGGGAAAAAGGCGTAATGGCTCCATACCTGTAATTATTAACACTACGGCTGCGCTTATCCCGGAGACCACGGCGGCCTTTGCAATAAAAAAGGTTTTATCTTTTCAGTTTTAATGCCAACTGGAAAGGCGCAATCAAAGTAAAACAGATTAAAAAAAAAAAAAATGGAAGCTGTGCGGCCGGCGCAGCAAACCGGCCAACGCGCCATTTAACAATCGTCCTTTAAAACAGCCATAAAATGATTACAACATGTGTAAACATTGTGCATGTTCAACAAAGTACATGTGTGTGTGCGTGCGCACACGCACATCAAGGGCAGAAAAAAAGAAAGAAAAAGAGCCCCTGATAGCATCAGTGAAGAATTTGCACGCCGGGCCATTTGTGCGAGTCTTTGTTGGTTGAAATGAAAGAGGCCGAGGCTTCAAAGCCGTGTGTATTAGTGTGTATTAAGTGTGCCTTAGCATGGAAATCAATACCAGATGGGACCCAAATCGCTGCAGTTCAAACTCTTCCACTAACCCCGACGCCGCCCCCTTCCTCCTTCCCTCGTGTCCTTTCCTTTTCACTGCATCCCCCTCGACACGTACGCACGAAAAACACACAGCCCACAATGTGAGACACACGCAGGGATTTAGGGTCACCCGAGCACTGATCAGTTTAGTCGCTGGGAGCCTTTCTGCCAGCTAACGGTTTGGTGGTCACACACACACACACACACACCTGTAGCTGCCCTTCTTGCGGAGCTGCTCCTTGAAGTGGCCAAGGGTGAGGCAGTGGCTCTTCATGTTCCTCCGGTAGGGGATCTCCTCACCACAGAAGAAATACGTCACCACCGTCTCGCCTCCTGAACCCTTTCTGGCCTCCTTCGCCCTGCAGACGGACACACAGCGAGAGAACGGCGTGTTAGGAGGGCTACACGCTCGCGGCGCGCAGCAAAAACGACGATCAAAAGAGGAAATCGGGAGAAAGAAAAATAAGCAAAAAGGCAAAGCTGCTGAGACGGGAATCTACAACAACACTTGGGTGGAGACGCACTAGCAGCCCCCTGACTGAGGAATAACGCATGCGAGGCGAGAGACCCGGCGCCGTCATGTGAGGCGCGTGCACGCGGAGGGGGGGCACGGCGCTATCGGATGCCCCTCAGCTCTGTCCAAGGCTTTGTAGGGCCGCTTCAGAGGAGCTCCCGTTGCAAAGCTCTGCTCGGCCCCGACCGGCCGCCCACTGAAGGGCCGCCAATAAACACGATGCATATGTATGTGACAGGCCGTCTCAGTCAGGTGGTGCCGTGACTACACCCCCCCCTCACACTCACACGCAGCAACAAAACACATGCAAGCAAAAAGAGGCAGAGCAGCTTAAAATAACTTTAAGAAAGGGGGTCACCTTTTTTTCTATAATGACTGTGATCGCGTGTGCGCGTGTATGTGCACATATGTGACGTGTGCACAGCGACTACTGGTGTGACTCCCTACATGTGCGGTGGGCGGCGCATACGGAGTTTAAAAAAAAAAAAGAGAGTAGAAGTACACTGCAAGGTGGAGCTTATGGCTGAGAAGAGGAGGAAGAGGAGCGGACAGGAGGAGCAGAGGAGAGGGAGGGCAGGACGCTAGAGGCATCGTACTCTTCTGATTGGAGGCCGCCGCTGGTCGGGTGGAGCCCGAGGGGAGCGGGACTGGCTAGAGACGGAGGGGCGGAGCCCTCGGCCTGCACAGGCACTGGGTGGCTCTTCTCTTGCTGGAGACCGGACATCGGATGCCTGAAGACGTGAAGAGACGTTGACAATACGTTAACAATACACACCGTCATCATCATCATCATCATCATCATCATCATAATCCATGATCATAAGGCATCTCGTTGCCGTGTACCTTTGCTTGGCGGGCTTGATGGAAACCTCCCCTAGCCGGCGGCAGGCCTCCTCCAGCTGGGCCAAAGTGTTGGGGGGGGGCGGGGGCGGCATGGCGGGGTCCTGGATGAACGGCTGGGCTGGCTGGTGACTACGCAGGTGGCCGCAGCTTCCGCCCCCGCCCCACGTGTGCGTCTGCGCCGAGGAGCCGCCGAAGGTCTTTTTGACGCTCTGGACGCTGAGAGGGGAGGGAAAGGAAACAAGACGGCACACGTCAGCGCCACGGGAAAACTCCCCGAAAAGAACTAAGCGGGAAGTCACAACTCAAGCTTACCTGTGGGACTTGTGCCTGCTTTGCCGCTTGCTCTCCAGGATCCACTGCAGCACGTTCTGGGTGGAGTCCGTTGTGTTGCTGGGCAGCTGCAGAGGAGGCCCGCAGTCCTCCACGCACCTCTCCGCCACCCCGTCCTCGGCCCCCGAGCGACACGCGCGCCTGGACAGAGAGCTGGAGCGCCTGGGAGAGAGAGAGGGAGAAGCTTAGCATTGGCGATGGAGAAAAAGCAAACCAAGCGGCATAACGCAAAGAGGTGCGTGCGGCTCACCCCACGCTGCCGCCAGTGGCGGCGGCCCCACACATCTCCCGGCCCAGGCTGCGGCTGCGCTGGTAAGGCTGGCAATCGCTGCCGCCGCCACCTTCGCATAGGCCATGCACACGAAGCGCCGCCTCCCTCTCGATCTGCTCCTGAGTCTTGGGGCCGCCGTGGTGGTGGATGTAGTGGTGGTGGATGTGCTTTGTGTTCTGCCGGCTCACAAAGCTCCTGCCGGGGCCCGGCGTCGGGCTGTTGGCCCCTTGGTCGGGACTGGAGACGCACGGGGTGCAGGGACCCGCCGGGGCCTTGGTCCCGAAGCCGGCGCGCGCGATGGGCCGACACTCCGGGGAGCCGGAGCACAGCGAGCGGCGGACGACGGCGGGGGACTGGCAACCGGGGGTCTTCAGGACGCGAGACAGGTGCTCGTCCAGAATGGCCTGTGGGTCCTCGTCGGAGGACTCGGGGAGGAGGGCGAAGGGGTGGGGTGAGAGCGCCGTCTCCGCCTCATCTCTTTCCTCCTCCTGGTATCCAGGGAATGCAAGACGATCAACCGAGGCACTTAAAACACCGGCAGCCGTCTTCTCTGGCGACGGGACGAGAAACGTCGTACGTACCTCCTGGATCTCCTCCAGGGAGTTGGTGGTGTCCTGCTTCCTCTTCAGGCTCTCCAGGCGGGATATGAGCTGGGCGGCGAACTCCGACGGCTTCATCGGGACCACCTCCTTGGGAGGCCAGCAAGTGCGCTTTGGGGGGGGGGAGAGAAGCAGAACCGTCAGCCACTGCATGTGTGTGTGTGTGTGTGAGTTAACCTCTGGTTATCGGGGACACCGCTACTCTCCGCATGCAACAGTCTGTCCACCACCGGTGGTACCGATCGGGTTCTGTCACGCGCAGGAAGGTGGGGCGGGTAGGGTGGGGGTGGGGGGGGTATAGTCATGCTGGGCTAGGCCTCGGCTGGTTCCCTGTGTCATCATCAGCGGGCCTCTTTAAAGTCAGCTCACTTCAAAGGCTTCCTAGTCAAATATCAAACACTCAGTGGGGGGAGAACGGGGAGGGATGGAGGGAGAGATAGATGGGAAGCAGTGGCTTTACATCTAGGAATAAAAGCCACATATCGACAGGGGGTGGAAGAGAACTCCAGGGAGGAAAGGATGAGGGATTAAAAAGGGAGAAGTTGAGATGCAGAGATGTGCGCTGGCAGGGGGGAGAGAAAGGGGAGAGTGAAGAGAGGGAAGGGCTGAAAGAAGAAGATAAGAGATAAAAAAAGGTGCCAAAAAAGGATGAAAGATCAGAAAGGTTGAGGTAATTTATCCCCCCCTTGTCACACACTGGGCACCTTTGAGGTACAATATAGTGACAGTATAAGGAGTGTGTGTGTGTGCGCGCACACATCTTAAATTATTAGCATTTCTGCACTGGGGGCTTTCTTGATTTTTGTTTCTCCCATGCCTTTGTAGTAGGGATGAAGGGGAGGAAAGAGTGAGAAAAGGAGGCGCTGTCTGATGGAGCCCGGGGCTGGTGCACCATGGGAATGGAAGCCATTGCCAAAAATCAAACGGGAAACCAAAACAAGAACATAAAAAAAAGTAAAAATGCAGCAAAAAAGAGGCAAAGTGAGAGAAGAGCGGCGAGAACGAAATCTGTGAACACGTTCCTCTGCCAACTAACACTTGCTGCGTGTCTCGTAACGTCGACAAAGACGGGGGGGGGGGGGGGTCACGGCGAGTTTATTCCAACAAGCTGCTTCTGTTGCTCCCACTCGGGCGACATGTCAGCCGATCTCCGCCTCGGAGCTCCTCGCCTCGCAAGCTCAAGCTAGCCGCTCTTCAGCCTCCAGCTCCCACCTCTGACCCACTGAGAGATCACATGACACGCTCTTCCCTGAGGTCGCCTGCTTTGAGAGGAGTGGGGAGGAGGGGGGGCGCTATGCGGCAGCTCTGTGTGTGTGTGTGTGTGTGTGTGTGTAGGGGGAGGGGGGGATGCTGTGGAAAAAAAGAAGAAAAAAAGAGGAAGGGGCCAACTCTGTTGGAAGTTGTCACTTCCCTGTGCGTTTGCTCCATTCATCCTCGGATCAAAGCGCTGCCTGTGCGTGTGAATGTGCCGGAGTGGCTTTCTGTTTTTGTTGGGATCCGGGCTGATTTCAGAGCCCTCGGGATAAAGCGGCAGAGATCTTCCTCATTTCTCCCTGTTCTCCATATTTACGGCATTGGGGGAGAAAAAAAAAGGGGGGGGGGGGGGGCGCGTTCCGAGCGCTGAGGCAGTAAACAGCTTAGAGACCCCCCCCGACTCCCGCAGACGTCAAGGAACCCTAACGGGGATGTAGGTGACACCAAAGGTAGCAAGGGGGCTTGTGTGTGTGTGTGTGTGTGTGTGTGTGTGTGTGTGTGTGTGTGTGTGTCTCCGAGAGGGAGGCTGAGTCTCTGACGCTCCTCTTCAGATCTTTGCTCGTGTTGAATTGAGAATGCCGAATACAGTTTGTGTACTATTCATAGAACCAAGAGAGACCCGGAACTGAGGGCGCTATGGAAATAACACTGTGGGGCTGCTTCAAAAAGACGTGTGTGTGTGTGTGTGTGTGTTTGTTTACTTACAGGAAAAGCAGGCAGGGAGACCTGACTGTTCATCCTCATGTTGCGCTGCATATCTCTGTGTAGCTGCTTCTTGGAGCCCAGTTTATAGGGAGGGATGCCATCTCTGGAGGGGGGGGGGCACAGAACACAAAAGGTCAGAGGTCAAGGAACTGATCGGATACGTCAATTAACACCAAACGGCCATTCGGGAAGACGCTTATTAGCAAACTGGGTGGATCAAAGTAAGCAAAGAAGAGCAAAGCAAAGAACTAATCCAAGCTGTTGATTCTCCCCGTCTATTTGACCCCCCGCCTATTTCATCTAACTTTCAGTTAAACAAAGAAAGAGTAATAATGCGACATTCATTTTCTGTTGTTTGTCGCGGCTCTGACTTAATTGGTCAGAAGGTTATCATAAATTAGTCATATTTGCATCCACACACACACACACACACACAGTCAGAAGTAGCGTCGGCATTAGCATTTCCTGACTGACTTCCGTGCTAAGCGGAGGCTACTGTTAGCATTAGTGACTGATTCAGAGAGTCAACCTGGTTTCTGTAACGAGGGACCAAAGCTTCCACGTGAAGCTCTTGACAGCGTAAAACAGACGCTTTCTGGTGACCTCGCCTAACTGAGGAGCTCTTTTCCGCTTTGGCTTTGAAATGCCACAGTCATGCGCATAAGCAGCCCCCCCTCCCGCCCTCCCAATCTTCATTTGGCAAGCGCAGCCAGCCTCTGATCTCCGCACATCAAAAGGCTGGTTTGTAAGATAAGGTAATGTTTGAAGTCTGCGCAGCTGCATTCCCCAGCGTCCAAGCAAATCCATAAATAAGATATAAGCAGAAATCCCCCCCCCCCTCCGCCACTCTCTCTCTTCCCACAGAAAAAAACGCCCCTTTCCCCATGCTGCCCCCCCCCCTTTCTATTCTTTCCTTTATCTGTAAATGGGATTCAATGTTTATGGCTCCCTTTTAACTAACCTAAAGAGAGGCAGATATGCTGATCAAGGCCAGAGCGGGCAGGAATTGAGGTGTGTGTGTGTGTGTGTGTGTGTTTGTGGGGCATGTCCCTGTGTCCAGTGTCACTGCACTGGGCAAAGTACAGCAGAATAATACTATATGGCCTTCGGCCTCTCTGAAGCAGGGCTGTCTACAGATATGCCTGAGCAGTGGAGCCTGTTGTAAAAGTCAGAAGTCATAATAAATTCTTTATAGCTGCCATATTGCTGCCCGGCGGCGCCTCAGTGCGTCAGTATCTGTAGCTCGGTTGACCTTCTGTGACATCATCCACGTCGGCCTCGGCGCCGCCCACGTGAGACAAAGTACAAGTTGCACAGAGATTCTTTCACAAATTTGTTTTTGTTTTTTGCCAATTTCTCGTACGACCCCCCACCCTTAGCTGACCACTCTTGGCCCTGAGCTGTGCACCGCGCGATGACCTCATCGTACCCCCCCGCCCCCTGTCGCTTGAGAAAGACGCCTCTTCTGAGCGACGGGCCCCCCGGCACGTACACAGATAAGCGGTGGACCCTGTGCGGACGGAAGCACGGCGCTTCAGTGACGATTAGTCGACCCGACGGCGGTTAATCAGCGACAGCTTTGGATCGTCCGCCCGGACATCCGCTCGCTTCAGGTGGTCAAATTTGTTTTGTTGCTGTTTTCATGAGAAATTGAACATCTATGAACTTTGGTGTTTTCTGTTGGGGACAAAACGAGCGAGGAGAGGAGGTGTGGAATGAACGTATTCCTGTGATGACGTAATAAGGGAACGAGGCAGTAGTTGCACTTCTCTCCTACTCGGTCAACTGATGCACTAAAATGTTCTTAAAATCTTCTATTCTCACACAGTTTCTCTTCCATCCACAGTATAACGTCACAGAACAGTGACAGGAAAAAAAACGGCCTCCATTGTGTCGCCTCTCTGGTTCATTTCCACTTACACACTGCTGTCGGTCACGGACATGGCGTCGTCGGTCAGGGCGTCGCTGGAGACCTCGCTGTCGTTGGTGCTGGTGGCCGGAGCGAACGAGCCCGCGTGGTCTCCTCTCTTGTACGATCTGCGAGGGTTGGGGGGGGGGGGGGGGGCACCAAGTGGGGAAGATAAAAACAATGCTGACACAACAGGTGTGGGTGGAGAATTCAAATTTTTGGTTCCACTCTTTTGGAAAAAAAAAAAAACACCCCGAGGAAAGAAGTGATTGGTGCGTGAAATAGTGAAATGGGACTTTCTTTGGTAGCGATAAGCGGTTAGGAGCCGGCTTCCCTGCAGCCTGCCGACCTCCACCCTTCAAATAGAAGCTCATCGCCGGTGGCAACGCCGGGCTTTTCTCTCCTTTTTTTTTGCCCCCCCCCATTTATGTACTCCTAAATAGCCCACGATTTCTCTCTTTCCGTTTCTCTCGTTGGCTCTTTCCTCCCATTCGTCTCCTGCTGGGCCTGCATTCTTACATGTGCTACGGGAGGGAGAGAAAAGTATAGAGCGGAAGCTTGGGAGAGTGTCAAGAGAGGGAAAGAAAGGGGAGAGGAAAAAACGGGGGAGTGGGGTGGGGGGGGGGGTCTTTATGAAGGAAAAACCCAGCAGGAATAAAGCTGTAGGGTCCAGGGTGAACTTTAAAAGGGCTTGGAAAAAATCAGGTATTTAACACAGCTGGGCTTGGATTCTTCCCTCCCTGCGGCCCCCCCCCCCCTCTAAATTAACCCTTCTCCTCCCTCCCTTTGTTTCAGGAGGTGCACCGCCCCCTCCCACTCCCCCTCCTCTGTGTCCTTCCTTTCCCCTCAATTTCTCTCCAAAAGCTTCGTAGTCCCAAAAAGTTCAAAAGGAAAGATAAAAGAAAAAGGTAAAAGTGAGCGCGGGAAGGGGGGGTGGCAGAAAATTAGGGAGGGGGGGGGGGTCAGAGAAGATTTGACGCAAACGAGTAAAGAGGGAAGGAAGAGTGTGGGGGGGTGTTGATGCTGACGTTCAGGGTTCGTTTTCAGAGGAGACGTGAGGAGGAGACGAGGGAGGGGGCTCCGAGCAACAAGCGCTACACTGGAAGAAAGTCCTCACCACTGCCGTCATCGCACGCGAGCTGCCAGTTTGGATCGCCGATGACTTTCCCCAAACAAACATCCCATGCATTTAGAAACTGCTCGACCAAATAAAAGCGCGCACTTGATTTGGCACTTTTAGAAATGGACAAAAAGGCCATTCGTAATAATAAACACCAGAAAGGTGCTTTAAGTGCAGCATGTCGATCTGCTATGGATGCGTTTCCCTCCGGCCACACGGCTTGCTGGCTGGGGCCGGAGCCAGCCATGCTCTGTGAACTCCCCCCCCCACCCAGAGGAAGGCGATCCCTCGCTCTGCTGGACTATTTCAAAGCCTCGCCAGCAGAGAGGCTGCTGCTGCTGCTGCTGGACACGGTGGTGCTGAGGGGGGCCGGAGGGTTAAAAGAAAGAGTAGAGAGTTTCTCTACAAACTCTAAAAAGAACCCCAGATGACATGCGGGCATCATTTACAGTCCAACGCGTCATCATTATTATTATTATTATTTTAAAGGGAGTCGCTGCCATACCTGTGTCCCCTCTCCATCACCTCCACCGCCCTCGCGGACGCGGTGACCGCCTGCGCGTTCACGGACGCGCAGCCCGGCGGCGCTTTGACTCGGAAGTCGCAGCTCCACACCTCCTCCTCGATGAGCGTGGGCATGTATCCACAGCCGACCTGGACGACGTGGTTGGGGGTCTCTCCCCCGGTCCTGGCGTACTCGAGGTAGACGCCGGAGCTCAGAAACATCCGGTACGCGTTCTCCTCCATGTCGGCTTGGATCTCCGTCTGCGCCTGGTCGAACATCGCGGAGTCCACGTGCTGCTTCTTGATATTATCCCGGATGAAGGTTTTGGTGGCGGGCTTGAGCTGCTGGGCCACCACGCCGTCGCTCTCGATGTAGCGCTTGTAGATGGCTTTGGCGACCCGCTGCGTTTTGCTTTCCCGCGGGTCCATCTGCCGGAAGCCGTTGCAGGCGAACCAAAAGTCCAACGCGTCGACGCACTTCTCCCGCTCCAGGAACGTCCTGAAGAGGAGGGCGCCGTCCTGGTCGCCGAGCAGCGAGTGCAGAGACTTGTTCCAGCGGGAGAGCGGGGAGTCCGGGGACGCGCTGCCCTCCGGCTCCCCGAGACCGTCCTGGTTCCTCCGCGCCGAGGAGCCGAGCACCACCTCGGCTTTTTGCGGGGGCTTCGTCATGGCCGGTTTGCCGGGGTAGCGGCGGGGCTCGCCCTCCTCCCCCGGCACCGGGGGTCGAGGAGCATCTTCTCGGAAACTACCGGAGATGTGGTCCATAAGCGCGCGGCTCATGGCTCCGGGAGGCGGCGCAGTGATCGGTTCGCCTCGGCTGTGTAATCTCCTCGCTCTCTGCCGTCAGCGGGGGGAGCTTCTCTCCGACCGCCCGTCTCCTCTCTGGAACACAAAGTATTGATCTGAATCAAAACCAGATCCGCCCCAAACTTCAAAAGAAAAAAGAAAAAAAAAGAGGGGGGGGGGGGGGGGGGCGCAGCAGGAATCTTTTTTTCCAGATCCTCGCTGACTTGTGCTGAAATGTGAGGATCAACCGCGGCAGCAGCATTATTACATAAGTTAAAACACAATTTCTCCACATCTCCAACCTGGAATGCGCTATATTAACTAATATTAACAACACATTGAATTAACTTGGCACGCGCGCAGTAGACCCAGATGACCCCCCCCCCCCCCCCGAGCGATGCGTGAAACTGTCCTCTTTCTTAAAATATACATATTGTAACCGCACTAGGAGTCTGTAATCCCACGCGTGTCGAGATGATCCCCCCCAAATAAATCCTCTTTGCTTCCGGATCCATCCCGTCCGCTGCAAGCAGACCGCCAGCACATGTCCCGATAGCAGCCCTGACACTCTCTAAACGGGGGGGCAATATAGTTAAGGACAGCAACACTTTGAATGATATGAAAGGAGACGTGGAAGATTACAGATTGCATACACACGCCTGATACCTCATTGTAGTCCTTTAAAGTCTATTTAACGTCGCGTTCAATGCGCATAGGAACAACAGCGTCCGATCCCAAGTAGTTACAACAGTCTCTCATCTTGGACGGTGAGGGGGGGGGGGTCACCACAAAAAGAAGGAAAAAAAGAAACAAATAACCTTACTTCTGTGAAACCACCTTGTTTCGCTTTAAATGATAATTTAAACCGGAAAGAAAACGGAGAGAATGATACTGAAAGAAAAGTCATTCCCCCCCTTGAACGTTACTTCAAAGGCGAGTCAACAGCACATCAAAGGGAACTCCGATGGGGGCCGCTTTGAGGAGGCACTCACTCGTGTAACTTACCATCGATCCACGAGTTATCTCCTCAAAATTAAACTCCACTTCTTGGCTTTCTTTTCATCTATATATATATATTGTTTTATCCACACAAGATAAAAAGAAAAAACGCGTGTAATCCACAGTATTCGTCTCCGCGACGCGTCCACGTACAGTCCGCTTCAGGTTCCAGTTGGTTTATGGTGAAGAGGAGGAGGGAAAAAAAAGCACTCGAGAGGAGGGAGAGAGGTGGTGGTGGGGGGAGAGAAGAAAAAAAATGCCGCTTTTCTGTGCCGCCTCCTTTTTTCTCCTCCCTCTCTGGCTTCAGGCTGCCATGCCCCGCGTCGAGGTCTCTCCTGTAGGCGACTCCGACACCGACTGAGCCGACAGGCTGGAGCAGCGCACTTCAAAGCGAGCAGCCGACGGCCGAGGTCCCGGCAGATGCATAACAAACAATTGCCCCGCGACCAAAAAAAAACCAAGTGTCGCGAGCTGCCCAGATACGTTGCGTTCACTCCGGGTGAAACATCATTTAAAGGGTTCATATCCCCCCCACCCACCCACCTCCTCAATAGCGAGTTTTTGCCACGTTTTACCAATCTTTTTCTTTTTATAGCAGATCACGAAGTGGCAGCTGCACAGCGAGGACCTTATCAAAGACAAGTAATCTTGAGCCAACTCCCCGAGGCTTTAGAGCGGCAGAAGTAACTGATCTGCCGCCCCAATGGCATTATCGCTACAATCCCTCTGTTGCTACATAAACTTTAAAGACGCAGGGATCCTTTTCTTTTCAAGACCCGCGTGGGTTCTCGAGATTAACCCCGCTGGAGACCCGGCTGAAGCACAAAGAATGCACTGGCTTGCATCAAATGGCACGTCCATATATCCGCGTATGAATTATTGGTCACGTTACGAGAAGACAATGGCTCAGGGGAATAATACAGCTGTGATTATAATCCCCTTTTAAAAACACTATTCTAACGGTAATAGAGACGTCCCTCCCGCAGAACTCAACGACAAGCTCAATGTTAAAACCATGCATTATAGATTAAAAAAAAGGTCCCAATCCGCAAATTCTGTTCACATACACGTGTGGAAATAGCACATTGCAGCGCTGTTCATCACTCCACAGCGCCTACTAGTGGCGGTGAAGGCACATGGAACAAGCATGCTCCATATTAAAACATCTGTTCAGCCAGGATAAATTCCCTTAAGGATGTGATTGTATAATTTAAGCTACAGAAGAAACACTCCTCTTGGCAGCTCTGACAGTGCAGAAGACAACACAAAAAGTTTTTTTAAAAGCCCTTATCAGACAGACATTCAATATACATCCATTCACTGGTCTGTCTGAGTTGTTCCGAAACAGACAGTAGTTTGGGAACCTACATTTTGTCAATCCGTACTGGACTATAACTACAGACAGTGATCTTACTATAGTGTTTATATAATAGAGTCAACGGTGCTGGTTTAGTTTTGGATAGATCTTCAGTGTTCAATGACCCTTTGCGCAAGATGACTGCCTAACAAAGGCAAACACTTTGATCAGCCGGTTTGCTGGGAAACTTTCTCCCCTGATGCAGTGATGCACATCAAGGTTAATAGAGGAAACTTCTGTTGAAGAGGCCATGATGACTAAGGCCTTACTCATCAGTCAAAGGCCATTTGATCACCGTTAAACTCTGTACGCTCACGTCCTGCACAAAAAAAACCATTCCCATTAATTGGTATAACGGTAATATCGGCTGGAAAGGTATAACTCCTGTAGTTACATACCTGTAATTACATCAATAGGCGGCGTGCATATAACAATTACAACATTGTAATTATATACGAGAGCACAATACAAAGGGCTGTTAAACATGTGAGATGTAATCATTAACCCGACCAGCCTTCCCACAATCTTGTTTATCAGCACTTAACTTAAAAAGTCTGTGAAAGAGGCATTGAGAATTAGCCAATCAGAGCAGGAAAACCAACCGCCGACAACAGGCAGCGCAGCCGCATGTGGTTGTGAAAGAGGTCGTCCCTAAGTTCATTTAGGAAATTATGATCCCGTTAAGACCTCGTCCCTAGTTAGCTGTAACTCAATAACCTTTTGTGATGAATGCATAAAAACGAGCTGGCCAGCAAGCAGGGGAGTTTAAATTGTAATGAGTGATGGCTGAAGTTTTAAAAGAGAACAAAGTGATGATTAAACCGCATTTAAACGTTACTTACGAGTCCTGGAGCTCCTCTCAGACCGCTCTGTGGCCACATTTAACCAAGAAAGTTGGGGCACCACTGATGTATAGTGTATTCGACACCTGAAGCCGGGCCAGATGTGAGACACTAATGATTCAAAGTTAAAAACAAGTCCACACACAAAAAAAAGCTCTTCTACACACTCTGGGTCTTTCTGTAGGTGTACAGGTCATCTGGCTAATATACAGACCCCGACAATGTCAGCCTTTGTTAACTTTGGAGGGCTGAGCCTGACCTCTGACAGTAAACACACCAGGGTGGAAACCGTCACCATGACGATGGCGTGGACCCCCTGCCAACACCGGTGGCCAGTTGGGCCCTCATGTCCTGCCTTGTCAACCCCCTGCATGGTTCATGGGAGGTCCCCATAGGTCGGCTCTTTCCCTGCTGGCCCCTCAGGAGCCGACCCCAGGTCTGAGACCGGCCTGAGACCGGGGGCGTCCTTGGCTCCTGGCCCTATAAAAAGACCCTTGAAAGAGGACTTCGGCAGGTTATGGGGCGTAACCGTCCCTGTGTTTGGACAGATATTATTACAGGGACAGGTCAAATTCGGCCTCACTACAAAGCGCCCTATAAATAGAGACGGAAGACGCGCATAAATCTCTTGCGGGGGTCAATCAAGTCTGTTGACTGTCTTTTTGTGTGCACAAAGTACAAAAAATAACTATAATGTCTGTATCTCAAGTCAGATTTGATGGAAAACCCCTCATTTATCACCACTTAAGAGGACGGTTTAAGTGTTATATGGTATTCTGAGCAGTCTTAACTGCTGCTGGCCACCTCAGTTGCAGTAATAAACACTACGAGAGAGAGTGTGTGTGTGTGTGTGTTTGTGTGTGCGTCTTCCAGCGCTTTCCTCTCTGTGCTGCCGCTCTGTGATCAGTAACTGCTCTCAATTACAGTATTGTGAGCTGTTCTTTTTCGGCTCGGGGTTAAACTCTTTGCCGACCCCTTTGAAGTACTCATCCCTTTATCTCAAGCCAGAGCCAAGAATTTTGGGGGAGGACAATGGAAAATGAAACCAAGAGGGAAGCTTATGGCAATTATCAACCAGGGCCATGAGGAGGAAGTGCGCTCACACGGGCACAGGGAGATGATGAGGACAGCGGGAGACAGCCAACTATAGGACAGGGGGTTACTGTTTCAGGTTTGTTTGGTGTGTACACACCCCGGGCAACAAGAGGAAATGCAGGCTGCCTCTTCAAAGTAGGTGACAACAGGGGGACAATGGCCTCAGAAGGGAGCAGGGAGCCGATGAGAGGAGGCGTGGCGGTGGTGGTGGCGGGGTGCGTCGAACATACACAACTTTGTCGAGGACCAGAGGAGGACGGGAGGGGGGGATAGGATGGAGGAGGACGGAGGGAGAAGTGCTGTTGTCAGCGGGAATCAAATGGCGCGCGGAGAGCTGGGGAAGATACAATTAAAGTGTGGAGTTAAGACAGGCTTTGAAGTTGGACATGGTGCATAATGCCCTTAAAAGTTAAGGAAGGGCAACAATTCGCCGGCTTGTTATGGGGCTGTTTTGAAAGAGGAGGGGGAGGAAAAAAAAAAAAGAGTGCGGGTGGTAGAGGAGGGGTGTTTTTGAAAGGGTTCAGTTGGAGGGGAATGAAGTTGGATTTCAAGCGCCAATTGGCCCCAGAAGGGGTGTTTTTTTCTTTTCTTCTTCTTTTCTCTTTTTTTTGAGACTGTAAAGTACGCGTGGGAGTCGGCGCCCACCTGCACATTTCGATGGCGAGCGGAAGCAGGGAAAGACAGATGTGACGCAGGGGCGGAAGAGGGAGCGAGACAGGTGAGAGAGAGACGACGACAGGAACACAAGGAGACAGGAAAGAGGTGCGGAATCGGCGGCAAAGGGAGGCAGAGAAGAAACGAAAGAGAGGCGAGAACACAGAGGGGGGGGGGGGGGGGGGGGGCGCGGGGGATGAGGGGGGGTGTTGAAGGTTATTTATTGGGTCCCCCCCCCCCCCCTCGTTTTAATCCCATTTTGCGCTTGACTTTTAAGTCTACCAATGTATAGAAACAATGTCGGATGCTCTGTCTAATCCCGTTTGGGGCATGAAGCTCACTCCGCACCGACAGTAATGACTTTCATTTCCTGCGCCGCTCGCACTGAAGCACCGTGCCGCCGCCTCGCAGGCCGGACGCCGCCACCGCCGCCGCGCTCGACAGGCCCCAGCCATGCGTCTCCAACCCCTGGGCTCCATCACTCATCCTTAATCCATCACTTTAACTCCCATCTTCCTCTTTCCGGACTCAGAGGGTTCCCAGACCCGGCGAGGCGATTGATTGAGTAATCAAGTCAAATCTTGTTTGGGCGATTTGAGTCAGCAGCTTCACACCTCAAAATGGATTTGGTCTTAATTCTGGGGAAGTAGGATTACATTTTTTGGGCACTTTTTGATTTGTAGAAACAATTGCATATGTGTCGATGAGGAGAACGTTTTCACACAGCCTTAATGTTGTAAGATAAAGAAATCTGAGGTTTGCTGCTTCATGTCCCGTGATAAAGCGTTAAATGCAGAGAATAACTACCCCAAGGGGATTAATGAAGGATGCTTTCTTTCTTAAATATATGAAATTCAAAGACACAACAACTGGGCACAAATAGATGCGGCTTCTGTCTGGGTGTCGTGAATCAACAACTTGAGCAAAAAAAAGTGCACCGATCCCAAATGACTCCACTTCATAGACTAGCAGAGACGAAAGGGAACATGCAAAAGACGGCAAAAACAGCCCAACAGTGTGTTTGTGTTCAATCTACTTGGCCTATTTATTTCCAAAGTAACACAACGTCAAAACAATGCACTGCAAAACAATCCTTTTTGAGATGGAATGAAACGAGGGTCAAGAAGAAGAATAAAAGCATCCATTTTTAACCTGATGTGCAGTTAGTCTGGACGTGGCCACGGTTTACTTCACCATCACCTGCGCTGCAGGAAGATTGTGTACAGAATAGCACAATCTTTCAGTAAGGCCGAGATCCTCCTTGTGGCAGTGGCAAGTGGGTGGCATCAAACTTGAGAGCCCCACCCCCTACACGGAACCCGCCGGTCCAAACCTAAAATTAGCCTCTGTAATAAGAAGACGGGGGCTCACGTGTCTCAAATAAAATTAAATAAAATTAAATATTTACAGCAGCTGACCTGTCGTACAAATAACAGTTGTTTCTGGGAAAAATTGGCTCCTCCCACCCAGCGTGCCGTCGTGACGCCGACTGATTTACTGGCGATTGCCGCTGCCTGCCACAAAGTTGCCACCCACTTGCCACTGCCACAAGGAGGATCTCGCTGTCACTCCAATCTTTAGCACATGGCGTTCTGTCACTCTGCTCAACCCACGCAGCGGAATCACGCCACCATCACACAAACACGACCCTCAGCGCCTCCTTCACTCGGGCGGCGTGGCCTCCAACCCGCTTGTTCTCAAATCACACAGCCGCATATCCTCCGCACGGCTCTTGTTGCATTTGAGTGACAGGACCGGGGGAAGAAGGAAAAGGAAAAGAAATCAGTGCCATAAATACCATCTCAACAAAAGAGAGAGTGATACTAGCTGGGAGAGCGACAAAGGCAGAAGACGCCGGTGTGTGTGTGTGTGTGTGTGTGTGTGTGTGTGTGTGTGAGAAGTGTTTGGTGATAAACAGGTTTATTTATGCGAGCGGCAGCCAAAACGCAGGCCTCCTCGGGTCTGACTCAGAGTACGGCGCTATAAAAAGACCCGGTGACGCGCGCACACTTTGTCAATCAGGCGCTGATGTACAGTGGATCCCAGAGGCCCTGTCACGGGCGCTCAGAGAAGCACAGCTTGTCACATGATGTAGTAGAGAGTGGAGGAGCGGCGGAGGACCTGAAATCACCCGAAACTACAGATTATTACAAAAGCCTGGAAACCCCCCCCTAAAAACTGTCAGATATCCTCGTGGAATAAAATACTTGAAGAAGAAAGTTAGCTTTGTAGTTTGCTTTAAATTTGTGATTCGGCGCCACAAGGCTGCGCTTCTTCTTTTTTTTTGTAAATCTCGTGTGCAGTGATTTTTAAATGGGCCTTTGTGCACTCATGAAAAAAAACTAACTCTTTAACCCACGACACATTTAAACCTCCAGCCCAAGCAAACACGCAGACACCCGTCTCGAGTGACACAGTCGGAATATGGCGGGAAACCCTGGGAGCTCCCTGACTGCCCCTTTACTGCCGTCGCACAACAGGCCGCCGTCTGATGTGGAGATAACGGAGAGGAAGCCGGCGCTTTGATCCCTAATGGGGCCACGTCGGCTGTGGAAATGACATTCTGTTTACACAAGCACAATAATGAAGGTTATTTGGGGCGGTAGACAATCAATTAGTGTAACTATGTCGGAGCAATGACGCCGATCAAAAGAGGCCGGTTTGGGTTAAACAACAAAAAAAACACCTTTCCGCTTAGATCTATTCTACGGGATCAGCAGTTCGTCATGCGGATATGTCGGATTTGGGTGGAGCGTCTGATGAATTCCGTACCCAAGGACCACGTCATTGTCAGGGAAGCAGACTACGAAGTGTGCTTGAAGTGTTCCCATCTATTTCGGATGGTGTAATCTGACAAGTGGGGACAAAAAGGGCAAATGGAAGCCCCCTTCTATCCCGTCTATCTATGGTTTTGATGATCTTTGATAGCCGCGCGTGAGGAATCATGCAAACACTCCTCCACACACACACACACACACACACACACACACACACACACACACAGGCCAAACCCCTGCGTGAGATACGCGTGATTGTTGGGAGAAGTTCGCTCCCTCATACAGAAAGGACGCTTTACAGCCGATATCAAGAGGAGGTCGAGGTGTGAGAGAGATCAACTAAGGTCATAAACCACTTATTGGAGTGATCGGTTCAGAAAAGGTTTAAAATCGTTTGCCTCTTGACACGATCCATGTAACCACACACACGTATTACCAGCAGAACATCCCACATACCTCCTTGGGTGTACATAAGTGCACGCGTGATGCTTTGTTGCAATAGTACTCAATGCTCCGTGCACTTCATCCAAAAACAACAGACTCTACAAAGGCTTTGTGCTGAAAGACTAAATTCCGTTCTCAGATGTCGGTCAGACGGTTCTGCAGAGAGTCTCCTTTCGTCCCGATTTTTTTTTTTTTTTTGGTGTTTCTTCTCTCTCTTTGCCTGGGCAGCAGAATAAGCACATCAAATAAATACAGAGAGAGGTGTAGTGTTTCGCTCGGAGACAGCGGAACAGGTCACGGACAGCGGGAACACATGGAAGCGCGTGAGCTGCGGGTGTAAAAAGAAAGCGGTTCCAGTGCAAATAAGTGCTGGGGCCGTCTTTGAAATCAAATCTGATTTTTGGGGAATTTAATAAACGCCTCCAAATTGTTTTCCAGGCCGAACACCGGATACTTTTGAAATGAGCAGTATTCAAGCCCAAGCATTCCTCACCTACCGGGGAGAAGAGAAAACAATGTCAGGGGGCTCATTGCGAAGCCCATCCTCGGGTCCACCAAACCTTTATCATCATCGTAGAGACCTCCACAGGCTGGAGGGCCCCCGAGGAGACCAGGAGACGCGGGGCCGGGCGTCTGAGCCCCTCGGCTGGGGGTTTGAGTGGAGCCGTCGGCGGTGGAGGCCTGTTGCGTTTGGCCCGTCGGTTCAAACCGTCGACTCGCAGCGCTCTTTATCTGAAACCAACCGCGAAACCCCCAAACCGCCCCGTCCGGTTCAAACGGGGGCTTCGAGGAGGAGAGGGCGATGCTAAATATCGACTGGGGAGATGGGAGTTCAAGGTCTTTGACTTTAGTGTAGAGTTGCTGAGCTGATCTTCGTTAACGTGCTGCGGTCAAATAAAAACAAGGGAAACAGCACGACTTTCCCCCAATTGAGGGACAAATGATGAGGTTTTGAAGAAGATGTAAAACGTGCTCTGAATCAAAACAAGACAAGAAAATGATGTCAAAAAGTTTTAATAAAATGTAGTAATATACTTTGGGGTTTTCGGTAAGAAATGTCTCTTGAACATAAATTACAAAAGGTATCAAGTTAAGTGTGAAAATGAAGAAACAAAGATTTTTTCCCCCAAAGCAGAGCAAAAAACAAAAATCTGACAATGAATAAATAACTAATATGAGAGACAACTGAACACTAAACCAAAAGATGACTGACGACGGTCCAGGTGCACGAGGGGCGTGACAGGTCAACAATGCTCACGTCTGATTGGACGTCGTGTATCCCGGCGTGACATCGGGCTGTGGTTTCCGCCAAGGTCACCTACGAAGAAAAGAATTTTTGGTTTCTCCACCGTGTAACGGCTACGCCAACACGCCTCGCTATTAAAGAGCATCGCGGAATAACACAAAGCGACTCCCTCTGACTGACTGACTGCTCCTTTCAGATCGTCGACGTCAGGGGGCGAGGCGCTGCGCAGACGAATAACTGGTTATCCGCCGCCACGCGCTTGACTGACAGTCCTGAGAGATGTTTGCCGAGATGTGAGCGGCGTCGTCGTTTGACGGGGCCTCTTATCCCCACGTTTATGAGCTGGTACTCCTAAAGACATAAATGGCTCTTACAGTATGATGGATGGGAGGCAAATCAAAGCCCCCCAGGACCGGGAGCTGTCACAGTCATCTAATGTAGCCGCATCGCTAACAGCGCGCCTGTGGAGGGCGAAGGCGTCGGTACGCCGGTGCAGAAACAGCGGCACATACTCACACGCGCTAACTCGCATCTCGCACGCACGCGTACACGTCTCCACGCAACGTTACCACGTAAAACCACGCTAACCTCCTGCCGCGACAGGCATCCAGGTCTTCCTGTAGCAGAGAGGCCCTCTTCTGGAGGAAGTTGACCTGCAACACAGAGAACCAACTCTGATGAGATGTTTCGTCAGGACGGAGAAACTGGAAGCGGAGACGCGCGATGGCTTTGGCATTGTGAATTTGGGTGGAGGTAGAGGGGGCGGGGGTGCTTAAGTGGAAGAAAGGCCCTGTTGTTGAGTACGGGGGGTCAGGACGGCAGGGGTCATGGGGTCAGGAGATTAGGGCAGCAGGGTTAAGGCACATGGGGACGGAGGGAAGATTATGAGCCCAGGTTAGTCGAGGTTAGGACACGGCGAGAGATTCTTTTGTTTGGCTACAACGTGCAGGTTTATTTATGAAGTGTCTTCGGCTGAAGGGAAAATAAACCCCATCTACATTTACACGGCATCTCGAAGGCTGGCAGAAAAAAAAAAAACCCGGCTCCGAAAGGATCTGTATTGTTCTGGGACTACTGGAGCCGAGGCCACATTCCTTTCTGTGGGGGAGACCTCAGGAAAGTTCTAGCATTTCATTTGGCACTTCTCGGTGGTGGAGCGTATTCAGAAACCCCAACGAAATGTGGTCGGATGCCTCCAAAAGACACAGAGGGCCTCCCGGCCTCCCTTTTTTCCCTCCACCATGTAAAAATAATGCACTTTAATGCGCAAAAAAACCCCTAAGACGTCGTCAATGAGAGGAGAGGCCGCTGTGGTCGCGAATTACATCTTCTAAACATATCCGATCACAGAGCTGCGGTGCGCGCACCGAAATGGGATCTCTGCAAACCTACTCGAACAAGGCAGGGGTTTACCATGAGCCCCTCTTCACAAGAACACGCACTGCGTGGTTTCATCGGCGCTATACGGAAATCCCTCGTTCCCCCGCGAGAGAGCGGAGAGCCCTTCATGGGCTGAGAACAACAACAAGGCCACACGGACGCGGTTGAGCAAGAGGTGATCCGACGAGTTCTAATTATGACTAATCAGATAACTTCTGCTTTCATTGACAGTAAGGAAAGGCCACGGGCAAAAGGGCGACAATCAAGGCTTTGGAAAGAATGGAGGAGGATGACGCACGAGATGGAACGGAGGCGGAAAAGGTCAAAAACGGGACAATTTCAAGGCCGCCGGAATGTGTCGCGTCGTCCCCGCCAGCGTCCGATCCCAACCCGTCACCCAGTCGGCTCTCACCTGCGCTTTCAGAGAGGCGATGGTGTCCTCCAGCTCCTGCCGGAGCTCCACCGGCATCAAGCCTTTGATCTTCTCCTCGTACTCCTGACGCACCGCCGTCACCTGAGAGGACAGAGGGGGCGGGGGCGCCAAACGGTGTCGGTTAGCGCTGAGAGGGAGCGGCTGAACCAGTGACGGAGTAGTTATTCAATCATCCATTTAACACGGATTAACATCACACACACGCAGACACTTTGCGTTCGTGACGTCGGCACATTTAAGAAACACACGGATGCAGTTACACACACGCACACACACACACACACACACACACACACACACACACACACACACACACAGTGGGTATCCCTTCTTTATTCGTGGCTCAGAGTATTCCCTCGCTCTTCACATCTCCACAGGGGGTCCACAGACTCGCTCGCTCCGCACGACACCCCCTGCTGGCTGCCTGCAGCCGAATCTGACGCACGGCGCATTTATCGCCCCCGCCCCCGACACGGCCGGGTCTGGTGAGAGGACACATCCAAACGGGGCTAGCTAGCTCCACTGGGGAGGACCGGAGGAAGTCTGTCTGGGGCTAAATTGCACCTAGTGTCTGATTATAGAAGTTGAAACCCCCCCCACCCATTTTTTTTGTTGTTGCCACAAACACACATGCAGGAGCGCAAAGGGTTTACAGCATTCTGAAGCGAGTCGCCCGGATCAATTAAGTCGGAGCTTGATGAATCCTTCACCAGAGTGGGAGGAGCCACCACGAGGTGGGGGTCGGGGGGGGGCGTGAGACGCAACCGCTCTCCAGCCGCACGTTTCAAGGTGTAACCAGGGGAGAGTCTGAGCATTTCAGCAGAACGTAATGTCTTTGACAGAGCCAGACGACGTCCAGCTAACGTTAAGAATACCCCCACAGCCCCCCCCCCTCCTCCATCAGTCCGGCCTTTCATGTGAAGAGAGCGTCGCCGTGGTGAGGGGGAGGAAAAAAAAAAAGATTGGTTTTCCTAAAAATAATTTTCCTGTTGTGTGTTTAACTGATTGTTCTGGTTTTGGCTAATTAATCTTCCTGGGCACAATGAAAGGGATTGGGAAGCACTTCAAAGACCCCCCTACTCCCCCCGTATAAATGATCCCGACACGAAGCCGCTCGCTTTGTCTCGGCGCAGCGTGCAGTAGATTACACCGCCGCAACTCGGGCCACTTCTCTGCTGACTCCTCCTGCCACCATTCATTTGGAAGTTTGCAGACATGTGTCTTTTTTTTTTTTTTTCTTCCTCTGTGTGAGAATGAAGTCAAGGATAATTTGAGACTGACCTTTTTTCAAACAAGTGGCAGGAAGGAAAAAACGGGTTTTGAGAAGCTTTAATTTGAACGTGCTGGAGTTGAAAAATCAGCTGAAGCCATGGGAGTGCAGATTTTTCTAAAAAGTCTAATCTATCTATAGCAGCTTCTGTAGTCATAACAGAATTGCGAGCCAAGACAAAACACACTCCACTACCTCAGACCAAAGCAATAAACAATGGTTGAATAAACACATCCCTTACCGACCACTCTGAATATAAGTCTGGATGCTTCAAAAGCCGCGCTCCTTAAGTTTTGCATTCTTGGTTCATGTACGGTGCCGTCGCCGCGGCAATGACAGATCCGCTCGGCCTAAATTACAAGCTCCTTTGTGGCAGCGCCGTCTCCATTTTCCTCCCCATACATTAGAATGGGCACGGCTGCTGCAGCGACTCCGCCGGGACTCGCCAGGAAGCCGCGGTTTGTGGGGATGGGGGCGGGCGACTGTGTGGGGGGGCGACGGGCGCAAATCGGGGTTTTGCTAAAGCTGTTCTGTGGTTATCGTCAAATAAGCATAGATGTATGGGACCGATCGCATCCTTCCGCCATCCTCCACGTGTGGAGTCGAGCAGCCTGTTCTTGCTGGGTGCGGAAGGCTCTCCTCCTCAGCAAGTACCGATTCAAAGATGGAGGATCTCTACGTGGAGTTCAATTCCCAACAGGAGCATCTCAACAACTCCCGGAAGGCGTCCGGTTTGCCTCCTCTCGCCTCTCCCAGAGTCCCTCCTCTCTCGTCTCCAGCTTCCTTCACCGAAACACTTTTTTGTGTGTTTTGTTTGTACAGTCAAGGCATGTTTGTTTTCCCTGACAGGTGGCAGGCGGGAAGAAAGCCTCCTCGCCATTAGGACGGATGTCAGGCGCCTTTGAACAGCGGCGCCGATCAAACCTTCCAGGAGGGTTTTTTTTTCCGGCGCTTGACGGACTCTAGGCGCCGGTGAGAAGAGGAAGTGGAATGGCAGGATGGAGAAGAAGTGTTACCACTAAAGGCAACGAAAAGGCACTTTGACTTTCAGGAGAGAAAAAAAAAATCAGGTTTCATCTCCGCAGCTCGCATTAAAAAACCAGATTTCGTTTGTTCTCGATGAAGCGTAATTCTCTCGTTTTGAAGACTGCGAGGGAGCGGCGGTTGATTTCCCCCCCCCCCCAGTCATCTTAAAATGACAACATTTCATCTATATATAGTCTTTAGATTGTGGTTTTGACTTTCCGTTGGGTTTGGTACCGTCACATGGTTTCTGACAGCTGCCAGCCGAAAGAAACAAGCCCTCAACACTTTCAACGTTCAAATGAAGTTTGTCACGTCGTTGGGAGGCTTGATGTATGCTAATGAAGTTGGGGTGTCTCTGTGTGTGCGGGTTAGCGCGGGACATGTTGGGGGAGGATGGGGAGGGGGAGGGGAGGGGGTGTAGCTGCCGGAAAGACATTTTTTGATATAACCCCCCCCCGCCCCCCCCTTTGTTCCGAAGTGACAAAAACCTTGTCAGGAACAAGGGGGTACATCAACATGACGCCACTCACAAAGTTTGCACCTCCATATTTCACTGAGTTGGCACCTAAGAGTTCACCGAGGAGCGATTTGAATTCAAGAACTCTTTTGGTGCAAGAGTGGAAAAAAAAAAGAAACCGCCTCACAAAAAGGGGAAGAAAAAGTGAGAAAAAAAGGGAAGAGGGAGATTAGAAGTGGCTACAGATCTTATTGAAGTTGATAGAACTGTGGGATGGATCGGTAGCTGCTGATAGAATGTGCCTCGACAAAAACAGCACACGGAAAAAAAAACGTCTACAGAACTCAAGTTCAACGGCAGCTTCCTTTTTGGTCGGCATCGACACGGAAAACTGCTGCAGTGATTTATTTTTTATCCCAGCGATGGTCCCCCGGATGCAGGAGAACATGCCTCTGAGAGGAGCACATTTCACCACGCGCACGGCCTCATTATGTATTCATACAAAGAGCTCTTCGGCGCCTCGAGTCGAGCCTCACGGGGAGCTGCTGGTCCGCCATCTTAGAGCCTGCGAGGGCCCCTGCAAGTGTGAGGCGAGCAACATCTGTGTGGAGGCTGCTTTCGCACGGGAGGGATCCGATTACAAAGGCAAGTCCTGGCAGATAAACCAGGGCAGGAGGTTTATTATGAAACAGGGAAAAACAATGAAGGTGCACACACACGCACACACGCACGCACACCCGTGACCTTACGTGATAGCAGGCTGGTAGGGAGGAATACATACATGATTCAGACAGTGTCTACACACAGGGAGCAGCGTTGTGACACTAAAGAAAACACATGTCGCTCTGCGCAGAAACACTGCGAGGACGCCATGTCATGCGTTGATGCCGGGGACGGTGCAACGCTCAGTGTGCGCCGCGTGCCAGGAAACCCTGTCCAACCTGTGAGGGGCTGTGAGGGTTCACTAGAAAGCCCTCGCTATCAAAAACCCACTTCCACTTTCTGTCGCCTCTGTCGAAGCGTCTCGCGCGTGGATCAAAGATGGCCGATCTGCAGAGATTCCCCCACTCTAACCCGCCTGTGGCACGCGTCCCGCTCGTGTCTCCGCCGCCAACTTTGTCACAGCCAAGCGGTCTGCAATTAGCAAGATGTGTTTGTGGCAGAGAAATGAGAAATTAAGTGTGTTCAATTGGTACCAAATACAAGAAATAAAATGATTCAGAGTTTCTTACTGGCTCAAAACAGTTCAGCCATTTAAGACGAAGCAATAAGTCGGATTTGAGTGAATTAATATGCCAAATGAAGGTTAGTAATAATTAAAATGACTAAGTGTCTGATGAATTGAGACCAACAGCATCTACCTGCAGTAAACTTCCCAACGTTCCGTTTGTCAGGTCGAGGGATTTTCCACAGGAAAACATTTTCACCGATGCACCTACTGATTCTCCAGTGATGGATCACCCGGTAAAAGACACTAACCAAACACATTAATGCCAAGCAGAAAAAGAGTAAACCCAGCTGCCATCCGGACCGAGTGATCGGACATCACAGCCGGGCGGCGGGTTCAGAGGTCAGCTCCTCTCGGGGCCGCAGGAAACAACGGGCAAGCGCCTCTGGGACGAGGCCGGCGACCGGCGGCTCCTAAAAACCGCTGACCCCCTTCCTGCGGATTTACGATTGGCCGACACCGAGGTCTGCGACGAGAGTGTGAAGTGTGTACAGGGGTCAGGGGGCGGAACGCAAGAGAAGGAATCCCTTGGGTGTCCATACCAGGCTACAAAGAGGAGCCTCCTGTGGGAGGGTAGTCATTAGTGCTTTTTTCTCTGTGTGTGTCAAGGTCACAACAGAGCCTGATTCCAGGGCATTTTGGAGCGTGTGTGTGTGTGTGTGTGTGTGTGTGTGCCCACACAGAGGCTTCCCCTTTGAACACAGGCGGTGGTGGCATTCCTGGCCCTAGGCGCTGGCTCTTGAAGCCAAATCTCAAGGAATTTGGGAAATGTGGGAGGGGGCATATCTGTGGTTTTTGAACAGGAGAATGAGATGGTAGAGTGATGGGGGGGGGGGGGGGGCGATTCAGTTTCTCTTCTGTCTTCTGTGGCCCCCTGGAGGGTCTAGTAAGGATGGCAGCCAGGGGGGCCGGGGGACACCAGGTGACCTGGGAGCCCAAGTGGCTGTTGAAGGGGCCCATAAAAAACGACGTGGGGTCAAATGTCCAATTGAAGCAAATAAAAGGCTCGGGCCCTTCTGGCAAGCTGGTTTGGGGAGCGGAAGCCCACCCGGCTCACGTACCGAATGCCAGTTCCCCTCATGGCCCCCGCCTCTCCTGTG